CTGACCATCCATGTCTGTATCTGACCATCTTTTGCTGACCATCCATGTCTGTATCTGACCATCTTTTGCTGACCATCCATGTCTGTATCTGACCATCTTTTGCTGACCATCCATGTCTGTATCTGACCATCTTTTGCTGACCATCCATGTCTGTATCTGACCATCTTTTGCTGACCATCTATGTCTGTATCTGACCATCTTTTGCTGACCATCCATGCCTGTATCTGACTATTATCTGCTGACCATCTATGCCTGTATCTGACCATCTTTTGCTGACCATCCATGTCTGTATCTGACCATCTTTTGCTGACCATCCATGTCTGTATTCTGACCATCTTTTGCTGACCACCCATGTCTGTATCTGCCCATCTTTTGCTGACCATCCATGCCTGTATCTGACTATTTTTCTGCTGACCATCCATGCCTGTATCTGACCATCTTTTGCTGACCATCCATGTCTGTATCTTTGACCATCTTTTGCTGACCATCCATGTCTGTATCTGCCCATCTTTTGCTGACCATCCATGCCTGTATCTGACTATTATCTGCTGACCATCCATGTCTGTATCTGACCATCTTTTGCTGACCATCCATGTCTGTATCTGACCATCTTTTGCTGACCATCCATGCCTGTATCTGACCATCTTTTGCTGACCATCCATGTCTGTATCTGACCATCTTTTGCTGACCATCCATGCCTGTATCTGACTATTATCTGCTGACCATCCATGCCTGTATCTGACCATCTTTTGCTGACCATCCATGCCTGTATCTGTCCATCTTTTGCTGACCATCCATGCCTGTATCTGTCCATCTTTTGCTGACCATCTATGTCTGTATCTGACCATCTTTTGCTGACCATCCATGTCTGTATCTGACCATCTTTTGCTGACCATCCATGCCTGTATCTGACTATTCTCTGCTGACCATCCATGCCTGTATCTGACCTTCTTTTGCTGACCATCCATGCCTGTATCTGACCATTCTTTGCTGACCTGCCTGTATCTGACTCTTTTGCTGACCTGGCATTTCAGACCTGGCATTCAGTTATCCTCCTGTCCTACTCTCCATGCTACCTGGTTTCTGCTGGTTCTTCACCTGCTCAGTGCTACCAGCCCTGCTACCTGCTAGTTGCCTGTCTAGCACCTGCAGCCTACTGTCTGCCCAGTCCTGGGTCTGCTGTCCCTACAGACACCTGCTGTTCCAGCGATCCAACCTGTCTCTATAGACGCACCTGCTCCCTCCTGTGCTCTTGTGGCCACTGTTGCATCATCAGTGGTCTCAGAGCTTGGGCTGTACGAGATGCCTCCCTCTACCCGTCAGGCTCAGACACAAGGTATGTGATTTGGGGGGATTTGTACTGCCCTGACATTTGGGGGGATTTGTACTGTCCTGGTATTTGGGGGGGGGGGTTGTACTGTCCTGACATTTGGGGGGATTTGTACTGTCCTGGTATTTGGGGGGGGGGATTTGTACTCTCCTGACATTTGGGGGGGATTTGTACTGTCCTGACATTTGGGGGGGATTTGTACTGTCCTGGCATTTGGGGGGGGGGTTTGTACTGTCCTGACATTTGGGGAGGGGGGGGGATTGTACTGTGCTGACAATTGGGGGTATTTATACTGTCCTGACTTTTCAGGGGGGTGGTTCTATCCTGGCATTTGGGGGGGAGGGCATTTGTACTGTCCTAACATTTGGGGGGGATTTGTACTGTCCTGACATTTGGGGGGGCATTTGTACTGTCCTGACATTTGGGGGGTATTTGTACTGTCCTGACATTTGGGGGGGGGGGGGTATTTGTACTGTCCTGACATTTGGGGGGATTTGGACATTTGGGGGGGGGGGGGGGGTTTTTACTGTCCTTACATTTGGGGAGGATTTGTTGTCCTGACATTTGTTTGTACTGTTTAGGCAATTGGGGGGATTTGTACTGTCCTGGCATTTGGGGGATTTGTACTGTCCTGACATTTGGGGGTATTTGTACTGTCCTGGCATTTGGGGGATTTGTACTGTCCTGACATTTGGGGAGGATTTGTACTGTCCTGACATTTGGGGGGATTTGTACTGTCCTGGCATTTGGGGGGATTTGTACTGTTTTGGCATTTGGGGGGATTTGTACTGTCCTGGCATTTGGGGGGATTTGTAGTAGTGTTGGGCTTTATGTTTGAGTCAGGTGCAATGATTTGGCCAATCACAGCACATGATGACATCACAAGGGGGTGGGGTGACCCCCCCCTTGTGACATCATCGCAGTATTTAGGAACTGCCATTGCGGCGCAGCTGTCAGATGGTCGGGAGCCATCATCAAAAGCAGATTGTTCTTTTTTCAGGTCAGGCATCGTGATTGACGTTGGATCTACTTCGGGGGACTTTTTTTTTTTTTTGTTTTTAATAAAGGACTGTCTCCTGTCATTTTTTACACTACACTTTTTTTTTTTAGTGAATGGGTAGCGGTATCATGTACCCCATACTCATTCACATGGGGGGGGGGCGCAAGGATCTGGGGGTCCCCTTGTTAATGGGGGCTTCCGGATTCCAATTATCACACCACCTGCAGACCCCCACAACCACCAGCCACGGTTGTGGGGAAGAGGCCCTTGTCCCCATCAACATGGGGACAAAGTGCTTTCGGGGGGAGCCCCCCCCTGCCCCACAGCAGCGCCCCATGTTGAGGGTATGTGGCCTGGTACGGCTCGTCCCCCTCTTTCCTGATCTACTAGGCTGCATGCTCGGATAAAGGTCTGGTATGGATTTTGGGGGGGACCCCCACACCATTTTTTAAAAATGTTGGCATGGGGGCTCCCCTCAAAATCCGGACCCGAAGGGCTTGGTATGGATGCATGAGGGACTCACACTTTTTTTTTAAATTGCCGGGCAATGCCAGCAATTTTTTTTTTTGCATTCAGCTGTCAATGGGGAACCCCGCTGACAGCTGAGACATTAAAGAATGTTTTTAGTAGCTGCGCGGCATCTTACTGCATACTCAGGTACTGCTTAGTGAATTGTCCTGTCACAGACCTGATGGGAGACAAATGACGAGGTCGGCCTCACTTGTGTCACCAGCCCTGACCCCGCTGGAGTAGGAACAGAGGGAGTCTAGGACCCAGGGGAACAAGAGCGCCAGTAGTTGTTGTTTGCAGCTCTTGCAGATGATGACCTTGGAAGGTTGATGATCCTCTGATTCAGGCACAGTAGTAACATGCAGAGCTGGTATGGTAGGTCGCCAGATGTGCAGCAGAGCAAGGCAGGTAGTGAGGACAAGAGACAGGAGCGGTGTCATGGAATAGCCGGGGTCATCAACAGTCGGACAGCACGGTACAGGATCAGAAGGAAAAGCCAAAGTCAGGAGTAGAGCCGAAGTCAGGAACCAGGAGCAGGAGAGCAATCAGAGTCAGGTGGGGAACAAGCCGGGTCAGCAACAAGGGAATCACACAGGAACAAGCAGGACACGGGGAGCTGGAGACCAGTCATCACTGAACATGAGCAGAGACACTCCTTAAATAGGCCGTCTGGCGCCAATCTTCGATGTGCGTGTGCGCGATCGCGCATTTTCCCGATCACGATTCGTCTTGCCGGAAATCCCTTACATGTCCCCTCAGTTCAAAGTCCGCGCTCAAACTTTCCTTATGTTCGACTGCAAACCGAACAGGGGGTGTTCGGCCCATCACTAATAAACAGATGTTCACAGCCATCCACCCCCCTAATCTTGTCCAGAGCCCCCCCTCCCCCCACCATCAGAAGTCAAGAGTCCGCCACCCTCCCTTGCATCACACTACACACCCCTTACTTTGTGCTGCTGCCGGGTTGGAATATTGTGTATTTGTGCTAGGAGGAGGAGGAAGGATTTGTACTAAAAGGGGAGATTTTGGGGGGAGGGGGGATTTTTTGTGCTGGGAGCTGAAATTTGGTGGGAGGAGAGGATTTGTGCTAGGAGGTTAAAGCTGTGGGGGGGGGGGGGGGAGATTCCTGTTAAGAAGGGAGTTTTGTGGTGGGGGGGGATTTGGTGGAAGGAGAGGATTTGTGCTAGAAGGGTAAAGTTGTGGAGGGCAGATTTGTACTAAGAGAGAAGATTTTTGGGGGGGGGGGGGGGGTTATACAGTGGAGCTGAAACTTTGGTGGGAGAAGAGGATTTGTGCTAGTTGGGGGGGGGTAAAGTTGTGGGGGGGTAGATTTTTGCTAAGAAGGGAGATTTGGGGGAAGGGGGGGCTGTACAGTGGAGCTGAAGTTTGGTGGGAGGATTTGTGCTAGGAGGGTTAAGTTGTGGGGGGGGGGGCAGATTTTTGCTAAGAAGGGAGATTTTTTTTTGGGGGAATTTGGTGGGCAGATTTGTACTAAGAGAGGAGATTTGGGTGGAGGGGTCTCGTGTCGGGAGGGGGGATTTGGAGGGGAGAGGAAAAGAGAGGGGGGGGGGGGGGGTGGGGGGGGGGGGGGGGGGGGGGGGGGGGGGGGGGGGGGGGCATGTAACGATGCACCCAAATGAAATTTTACGTCCTTTTTTCCCCACAAATTGAGTTTTCTTTCAGCGGTATTTGATCGCCTGTGCGGTTTTTATTTTTTCGCGAGAGGGGGGCGGATAAAACAAAAGGCTGACAATTTTGAGAAAAAATACAATATTTTGGACTTTTTGCTATTAAGAATTTAATGCCGGGCAATTTTACACCTTCCTGCCCAGGCCAGTTTTTCAGGTTTCAGCGCTCTCACAATTTGAATGACAATTGCGCGGTCATTACAACACTGTACCCAAACTAAAATGTTGTATATCATTTTCTTCACACAACTAGAGATTTCTTTTGGTGGTATTTAATCACCGCCGGGGTTTTTATTTTTTGCTAAATTACAAAAAAAGACCAAAAAACTTTTTTGAAAAAAAAAGTTTTTGTTTTGTTTCTGTTATAAAAAGTTTGCAAATAAATAATTGTTCTTCATAATTTTAGGCCGAGATGTAATTCTGCTCCATGTCTTTGGTGAAAATAACCCAAATTAGGATGTATTATTTAGTCTGTAGGAAAGTTATAGAGTTTACAAACTATGGTATAGATCTGAATATTGATCAATCCTGAAGTTACTGACAGCCAATCTAATATCTCGAGGTCCAAGAATGTCAGGACGGTACAGATATCCCCCAAATGTCAGGACAGTACAGTATATCCCCCCAAATGTCAGGATGTACAGATACCCCCCAAATGTTCTTTGGACGTACAGATATCCCCCAAATGTCAGGACAGTACAGATATCCCCCAAATGTCAGGACAGTACAGTTACCCCCCAAATGTCAGGACGGTACAGATATCCCCCAGAGGTGTCAGGACAGTACAGATATCCCCCAAAATGTCAGGACAGTACAGATATCCCCCAAATGTCAGGACGGTACAGATATCCCCCAAATGTCAGGATAGTACAGATACCCCCCAAATGTCAGGACAGTACAGATACCCCCCAAATGACCCCTTTTTGCAGAGTAGACAGTCCGACGTTCTTCATAAGAGAGGTAGAATGGGGAGTTTTTTGAAGTTGTATTTTTTTTGTCCATAATTTTTTGGAAAAATTAAAAAATTAAAAAATTATTTTCACTATTTTTTTTTTTTACATACTGTCACCAGTGCAGTACAGGTCATCATATAACTGGCATGACGGTGATCAGGGACACTGACTGGTGACAGTATGAAAAAAAAAAAATAAATATAACATAGGTATTTTTTTTTTATTAAATTTTTTTTCTTTTTTTTAAGATTTTTTTTTCATATTTCACTATGACCAAAGTAGTACAATGTTACCATAGTAACATTGTACTACTTTGGGGAAGTGATCAGTATTTTTTTTTTTTTTTTTACACAATTTGCTTGGGGATAGCAAAAGAAATTACTTTCCTATAAGCAAGCATTTACCTGAATGAAATCGATTCATTCAGGTTTTTTTTTTTTTTTTTTTAGTGCTTAGCTGTGATTTGGGCCACAGCTAATCACATGACATGTGCATGTGATCGCTGTGACCATTCACAGCTAGGCACTAGTATACAATGGATGGCATCATGAATGAAGCCATCCATTGTATACAACTGTCATGTGGCCTGCTGTGATTGGTCACAGCAGGTCACATGGTACCGGCAACGGGGCTGATACTCGGATCTGTCAAATCGGCCGTGTCCGAGGTGCACGGCGTATGAGTGACAGATCGCACTGCTGCGCCGCTCTGCAATTAGCGCAAACTGCGCAAAGTGCGGGAGAGGACCACAATGGTGTGCACCCGGAGTGCGGAGACACCTTTGAAGCCGCCAAACGGCATTGGGGCCGGGCGGCTTCAATGGTTAAACACGTCCAGTAAAAAAAAAAAAAAATAAATCTTTGTCATAAATTTCGGGGTGAATGTATTAGCTGGGGGTGTCCGTGTTCTTCGCCAAAAAATAATCCCAATACGTGGAAATGAATCGGTTTATGTGAAAGTTATAGAGTCTACAAATGGTGGTACAGATACTGGGATTTTTTTTTCTACTAGTAATGGCGGCGATCAGGGCATATAGCGGGACTGCGGCGGCAATCTGACACTGGGGGGGGGGGGGGACTGACTTGGTGTCACTGACATCCCCAGTGACACCAATACAGAGATCAGTGCTTAAAAAAAAAAAAAAAGCACTGGGTGCACCTGTAACTAATGGCACTAGGGCAGGAAGGGGGGTTAATATGATGGGTCCGTCAAAGGGTTAACTGGGTGCCTGGGAAAGGGGGGTGGGGGGTAGGGGGGGGGGTTGGGCGCGTGCTTCACTGTAATGCTCTGGATGGCTGTGCTGTGGTGTGCCCGAGCAGGGGGGGGGGAACTTTTGGCAAACAAAACAGTCCTCCTCCTGCCGGTGATCCTCAGTAATCACAGGGCACCGGTGTGGGTACACCTGCAAGTTGTTAAGGATACAGACAAAGAAAGAAGATTTGCTGCTGCGGGTCCTGCTCTTCGGGGGGGGGCTGGAGAAGGGTCTTACAGCTAAACCTAAAGTGATAATTAAGGGTTTCCTTTTTTTTTCTAAAATAATAATAATAAGTGGGACTTACCTGCTGTTTTTAGGGGGGGCTGGGCGGCTGGGGGGGGGGGCTGTCCCGGCCATTTCTGAGTGCAAAAAAAGGATTTCACCATACACGTGCCCTGCAGGGGGTATGTGGGCCGGCCAGTTCTGCCTGGGAATGGAGGCCGGGAGGATAGCAGGGAAAAGGAAAGGAGGGGAAGGGGCCGAGTTGCTGCGCCATGGCTTCTGAGTTGTAGAAGTGGCCAGTCAGGGGGGATCTGTAATGGTTTTGCACAGAGCAACCCCGATATTCCTCTTCTGGGGGAGGCTGGTGCTCTTGGGGTGTCCGCTATCTAATGGGTTCAAGCGCCCCCCCATACTGTGATCCTTACTGTCTACTGGATCCTGTACTAGTGCCTGCTGGTGCTCCATAGTAACTGTAGATGGGTCTCCTGCTCGCCTCTGCCGCCATTCAGAGGGGGGATGGGGGGGGGTCTCAATGGATGTGGCATGATGCAATCTGTGATTGGATAGTGAACTGGATTGTGGTGGGGACATCATGGGGTGGTTTTCCACCTTATCACAATCAGAGGGCTATAATGGTGGGGTACCCTAACGGGGGGGGGTGACCCCCATACTGCCCTAACCTGCCCCCATACTACCCCGTAACCTGTGTGACGCCCTGAGGTTGGGACCCCATGTCTACTACTAACCTGCCCCCATACTGGGGGAGGGGGTGCCCCCATACTGCCCTAAAAGGGAGGGGGGGGAGTGGGAGTTGCCTGCCCCCATACTACTCTATCCTGCCCCCATACTACCCTAACCTGCCCCCATACTACTCTAACCTGCCCCCATACTACCCTTACCTGCCCCATACTACTGCTAACCTGTTTACTGCCCTAACCTTGCCCCCATATATTGTTTTAACCTGCCCCCATTTTTTATAACCTGCCCCCATTTGCCCTACCCAAACCTGCCCCCATCGGCTACCCTAACCTGCCACCATACTACTCTAACGGGGGTGCCCCCATACTGCTACTCTAACCTGCCACCATACTACTTCTAACCTGGGTGGTACTACTGTGTGGCCACCGTAAGGACGTGGAACCCTGGGTGCCTAAACCCCAACCTGCCACCCGGACTACTCTAAAAGGGCGGGTGATACTTATACTACCCTAACCTGCCCCCATAACTACCCCAACAGGTGCATTCACCCATACTACTCTTTTCCACCCCCATACTATCCTAACCTGCCACCATACTACCCCTAACCTGCCCCCATACTGGCCCTAACCTGCCACCATACTACTCTAACCTGCCCCATACTGGTTCTAACCTGCCACCATTACTGTGGGGCCACCATGTTAGTGTACCTAACCTGCCCCCAGGGTACCCTAAACCTGCCACCATACTGCTCTAACCTGCCCTGCTACTACTTGTGCCCCCGTACTACTCTTTAACCTTTGCCCCCATAAACTACCCTAACCTGCCCCATACTACCCCAACCTGCCCCCCTATACTACTCTAACCTGCCCCATATTACTTGGCTGTAACCTGCCACCCATACTACCCTAACTGTGCCACCAACTACTCTAACCTGCCCCATATGATACTACCCTAACCTGCCCCCATTACTACTCTAACCTGCCCCCAAACTTGCCACCATATTTGCCTGATTGGTGGTATACTTTGCTAACTTGCCGGGCCATACTACCCTAACCTGCCCCATACTGCTAACTGTGCCCACAAATACTACCCTAACCTGCCACCATACTGCTTGGTAACCTGCCCCCATACTACCCTAACCTGCCACTATACTTCCCTAACCTGCCCACGACTACTACTCTAACCTGGGGGGGGGGGGGGGGGTGCCCCAATACTATAATACCTAACCTGCACCCATACTACCCTAACCTGCACCCATACTACTCTAACCTGCCACATACTACCCTAACCTTGGGGTACTGGGACTCAAACCTGCCCCGATACTACCCTAACCTGCCACCATACTACTCTAACCTGCCCCGTACTACTCTAACCTGGCCCCCATACTACCCTAACCTGCCCCCATACTACTCTAACCTGCCCCCCGTACTACCCTAACCTGCCCCCGTACTACTCTAACCTGCCCCAACTATTACTCTAACCTTTATACTATTACAACCTGCCCTAATACCTTGCCCCACATACTACCCCAACCTGCCCCATACTACCCTAACCTGCCCCCGTACTACTACTAACCTGCCCCCGTACTACCCTAACCTGCCCCCATACTGCCTAACCTGCCCCCATACTATACTACCCTAACCTGCCCCCATACGTACTCCCTAACCTGCCACCCATACTACCCTAACCTGCCCCCATACTACCCTAACCTGCCACCATACTGCCCTAACCTGCCCCCGTATTACCCTAACCTGCCCCGTACTACCTCTAACCAGCCACCGTACTACTCTAACCTGCCCCCCATACTACCCCAACCTGCACCCATACTACTCTAACCTGCCACCATACTTACCCTAACCTGCCCCCACCATACTACCCCTAACCTGCCACCATACACCCTAACCTGCCACCGTACACCCTAACCTGCCACCATACTACTCTAACCTGCCCCCATACTACCCTAACCTGCCCCCGTACTACTCTAACCTGCCCCCATACTGCTTAACCTGTATCCTACTTTTACCCTAACCTTTGCCACCATTTTCTACTCTAACCTGCCCCATACTTATACTGCCCTAACCTGCCACCATGCTACTCTAACCTGCCCCCGTTCTACTCTAACCTGCCCCCATACTATTGGAACTGCCCTAACCTGCCACCATACTACCCTAACCTGCCCCCGTACTACTCCTAACCTGCCCCCATGTTCATTTGGGTACCTATTGACCTGCCCCGTACTACTCTAATCTGCACCCCATACTACCCTAACCTGCCCCCATACTACTGTAATCTGCCCCCATACTACTGTAACCTGCCACCATACTACTCTATTTTGGCCTTATTACAGAAATGAATTGAAGGTAAAAAACATTCAGACTTTAGCAGCACATTCAGGCTCTTCAGACGCCGACATCCGCGCTTCCGCTTGACTTATTTCCAGGAATCCCTTAGAAAATATCTTGTATCACATTCTGCTTATAACATCCTCCTCCCATCACCGAACATCGCAGCTCCGGGGTCTCTGACCGACTGATGCATTACCGCCCCCCCATCACACAGCCCCATCAGGGAGGTGATTAGAGGGAGA